GTCATTGGCTTCCAGAATGTTAGAGGCGAATGACTTGCCTCTTTGGAAAGCACGTTAAGCACCACAGTGCTCCATTTCTAAGTATTCTCTGTTGTGCTCACTTATCATGTCCATTGCTGTTGTCACCATTGACGAAAGTATTACAAGTAAATGGTACTTCGGATATTCTCTCCTTGCTTAAGAATGGGATACGAAATGGCCCTCTTTGACTTCTGTTGCAGCTGGAGTTTATCTTTGGAATGAGCTATGTTGAAAGTTTCCCTCCACTTAGGCATTTATTAAAATACATTTCTTGGCCAGTAGATTTTTTTCGCCATGAATCGATGTAGGTTCTTGGTGTTATCCCCGAGTGTGTCAAGAACGACTTCCTATGGCTCCGCCCCTTGATATGAGAGCCATATATAAGCATTACTGTCTGACGTTTTTAATGAGTCTCCACTTGTGTTATACTTGAGGTTTCCTATTAGGTGTCACCAAAAGTAGGAGGCTCCCAATAGGCACTCTCTTAATAATTTCTCTTGCTAGTTCACAGTAATGATCGTTTGGTGAGAAATACTACTCCTGAGATTATGGCTCTATGGAAGCGCATGCGTCTGTCTCCATGTAGTTTCCTTGGCTATAACGAAATCACAATGAGAGCTGTCAAACCATAGTCGTCCACTTACTACTGGATGAAATACTATTCTGGCGTGTTTGCTTCTACGAAGCGGAAGACTGAACCTGTGCTTTCATTGCCAGTAGGTTTTTTACTAGTAAACAAAAACACTCCGGCTTTAATGGTTTTTCGTTTGAACTTCAAGGAGTGCTACCGCTAGTCTTCTCGCACAGCTGCAACTTTTAATTGGTGCTTAGCATGTAACTGTAAAACACCCGGTTCGACGTGAAGTTGTTTTTGCCTAGTTGTTAAAATATTAAGCAACCATTATTCTGTCGCATGCCGTAGTTGGTACAATGGATCTTGCTTGAAGTAGTTATCAGTTCTGTCCCATGTTGCTAGAAAGGTGTGAATAGACTCTTCTTACCAGGCACTTAGCGTGTCTGATTCTAAGGTGGCGCGAGAACACGCCTAGTTCTTTCAGTATGCTGTTAGTTGTTTATTTACTTTCGAACTGGTTACTCACTTACACTGCTACTTCATATCCGTCTTTGTACTCCGTCTCTCCTAAACAGAAACATACTGTTTATGCCCGTTTCAACGTCAATAACATGAGACGTTAGTCAAATTTCAGGATTACGGTTTCCAGGGCTAGGTGAGAACAGTGAGATTTAGGCTCTGGCATTTTACATCTAAGTCCCCTCATATTATTGTAGAGGCACTTCTGGATGCTTCTTACAGCGTGAGGTGCTACTATGATGGCTAGCAATAGGTCGTTTGTGGCGCTGTAATAAGTTATTGCTGTTTGGCCAGTTCCAGTGAAGCCACCTCAGTCAAGTCTTTTCCAGAGAAAGGTTTTACGGTCACTACTATTCCAAGGTTGTCGATCTGGCCCTAATAGTGTGTCTATTGATTGGTAGTGGCTGGAGTACTAAAAAGGTTTGTTGTTTTCTGTTGTCACAGGATCCTACGTTTGTTTTCACAGCATCAGACATCTCCGACAATAGCATCCTTAACTCCGTAATATGTCTGCAGAGAATATCCGGCTGTCCAAAGTTGGTGACCACCAATTAAGGTGAGACAACTGTTGTTAGCTACGAGGGATGTAGAAACCTGCATGTTGCCACCACTCCTGTCCCAATCAGCTGAGTCTGCACAGGAAGCCACTGTGACTTCTGGATATCATGAGTGCAGTCTACGCCCAAAGTTCATCTAATTAAGTTTGGAGTTCAGCCAGTGACCATGGCTGCAAGTCTTTCTGCTCTCCAAGGGAAGCCCTACCTACTGACCATGGCAGATTTGGTCTAGCTTTTACGCTGAGTGAAATAAGCAAACCAAGAGTGGGTAGTTCACACATTAGGTTACTGACCTTACGTTTAATTGTCTGGTTGTGCGCTCCCAAGGAATTCCAACAGCTACTCACAAAGCCGAGGTGTATGAATGAATGAGAGGAATAATGCTGCTGATGCGGCACTTGAGTCACATTAGTTGATCAAGATAGCGGCATTTACCACAGCTGTAGAGTGATGGTGACGACCGAGCTGAAGTTACACATTCTGCTGAATGATTGTTGCAAAACTATCGGATTGGACAGAAAAATTTCGAAATGAATAGTTTTAATCCCAGACTGTTCCAAGTTGAGTAGAGATGAGGCAAAACATGACACCATTTGGTGAGTGAACCTTCATAATCACCCACAACATGTTTAGCTGCTAGACCAACCTAAACTAATATCTTCAGTTTCGACAACCGATTTGAATGAAGCTCTTCAACGTTGCAATAGCTCAGTAGATTCTCCAAGTACTCCAAGATTCTACGTTTTATAGTGACCAGACTTCTGAGTGGAGCTCGACAAAAACCCCAGAAATCAGGCAGGCTCCAGCCCTGATCATGAGTGGGTCTACTCACTCTCTGTCAGCTTGTGGAACACAAGCACCTATACTAGTTGTTTTCCTCTACCTGAAGACAACATTCAACTCGGTCGACGGAGAAGTCTTGTGATAATGTCTCTCGCTGAAAGGAATGCGGGTTAAGTACATCAGTTTGTGGGAAGCTGTGTAGTCGAACACCCTTGTGTATGTTAGAGCTTATGGTAAGTGAGTTGCGTACGTCGTGGTGGTGCGGTTTCCATCAAGGATGTTAGTTAGTGTCTTCATTCTCATCCTACTTTTTCAGAGACATACTTTTGCAGGTATGTACCTTTCATCGTGTGACTTTACAGATATTTATCTTGTCACAGGTAAATGCATGGTAGATCAAGAGTACACAGACGTACTCCTATCCTGTTAGGTGAAGACACTGACAATATGCAAAGTCTTCTGGACATCTTGAGTGGCAATGTGAGAATGTTTGGGATGTGTTTGTCACCACGTGAATGCAGTGTTGCTCCAAGACTGATCTTTAGGGGTGATGTGCCTAACAAACAATAGGGAATGAAATGGTTGAGTGTGTTGACCACTTGACTTGCCTGGGAAGTGAGATCAGGCCTTGTGGATCTGTGGTCGACAAAATCTCTACACGGATACAAAAGGCTCATTCGGCTTTTACCAAGTCACCATTTATGGTGCCTCCATGATATCCGATTATCTATGAAGGGTATGGTGTACTGCGCTGTAGTTCGCTCTCCTCTGCTATACGGTTTTGAAACATGTTCGTTAAAGGTAGAGGACACGTGTAGGTCTCAGGTGTTTTACCCCCGTAGTCCTCGTAGCATTGATCTAGTGTTGTGGTTTCACTGCGTTAGAAATGTAGTCAGTTTTAGGTAGGATAGGAAAGTCAGTTGGTGAGTTTGTGAACTTTCAACAACTGAGGAGGCTGGGACATGTGTTACGCGTACATCGCCACCGTCTTCTTCTTTGCGCGATGTTAGCTGGAGTAGGTGGGTTCAGGCTGGAGAAAGGGTTGGGGGCAGTCTGACTAGAACATGGCATCAGTGCATGGAATCTTTGACCGTGGGCTTGAACCATGTAGCTAAATGTGGACTTTCTGGTTGGGATCGGCGTGATAACAGAAACCAGTGTTTGGGGACCGTAGGTGACACAGATCAGAATCGATGTCAGTAGAGCAAATGTGCCCACAAATTATCCTCACCTTAAGCATCATACTGAATTCATTATTTTCTTATTCCTCCTTCTTACCTTTTCAAAACTATCTACCACTTCGACTTCTTCCTTATCTCATCTTCTGTTATAGCGCTTTCTCACTAGTTGTGATGATATGAGCCGTGGTAATTTGGACCACTAAGCAATAATTCCTGGTCTTAGGTTGATCTTGTCTGTCTGTCGAGACAAGACCAATAAAAGTGGAAGATATGAAGTGGGTACAGGTTTCTAACCACAAATGTCTTTATAGCATTGCTAACGTATGGGGAAGCCACCATATGAGCGATGTCGAAGTTCAGCAGAGTGTGCTAGGCAGGGAATGAAATTCAGTTGTTGGCGCTGTTCACCTACAGCGACTGAAGTGACTTGAATATTTGTCCCGCATGTCAAGTTACCTCTTACCTGGATGTGCAGTGCTAGAATTAGGTTGGAAGAGGCTCAGGGTGACCAATTCAGGATACAGCACCAGTCCATGAAGTCTTACTGTCGTCGCTAGTACGGGAGAGGTGTAGTCTAACTGGCTGGGGTCGTTCAGACGATAGGAATCAACGGCTAGAAATTCTTGATGACATGAGTGAAAATCAGTCACAATGGCATGGGTATGTTCGCTTTCTAACTTCTTCAAAAGCTTGAGTATCTAAATTAACATTTGGTAGTAATTTTTATGAATGAAAATAAAAAAACATCTTTCCTCGGATTGTTTAAGGTGAACAAGTCAATTATTTCTGGATGTCGTACATTTTAACTCGTCGCATGACAACGAATTGTCACCCTTCTCGACAAGACCAGTCTCGCACAACACGAGAAAAAGGGACCATGTTTGGTAACTACAGGTGAGATCAGCAGATGCAGATAAACTGGTGACAGTCAGATGTATCCTTAGAAATGCATAACTATCCACTTTTGCATTCACTGCCTCAAATTTGTTGCGCCTAAAAAAAATCAGAGAATATGAAGCACAGATACATCTCATTAGCCTTCAAACTGAAACCGGTACAGGAATAATATCTATGCAAACTTATTCGGAACACAATGGAGAAGTTTATAAACTTCGCTTATAGGTGAAAAGTAATGTAAGATAACCATGGGAATTATGAAGAAATGCGACATTTAATCCCCATTTTCTCATGGAAACGTGCTATTCAGAACCTCGTTAGTGCCTTATAGAATTTCGCGAAATTTTCCTAAAAATGTTCTGACTGGATGGTTGCAGCCACAGCATGCTGTGGCAGTTTAGACAGGAAACGCTAAACTCGAAGGTTTTGAATGAAAGGTATGGAGAAAAATTGAAATATGAAACGTACATAATCTCGAAAAGTTGTGCTTCACCTAAGCAGTCAGTTAAATCCTATTTTTAGAGACAACCTAAGACATGCAAATATCAACAGTGTGAACAGAGACTTAAATTCCCTCTATACATCTTTATTACCTAAGCGCATAACGACCTGAAAATTACACTATTAAAAAAAGATCAATATTAAATTCAAATCACGAATTTTTGAATGGAATAGCTAATCCCTGACAAGTCCTGTGGAATGATTTCAGGTCTTTCGTGGATTCTGATGCAATAGAAATCATTTGAAATTAAAAAAATTGAGTAGTGACGTGTTTCGCTCGTCTCTCAGCTTTTGGATTTTTCCACAATGAAAAACTCCCACTTGCAATACTCAATCTAAAAACATCGAACGTTTGCAGCACTTCTGTCCATCCACGCACCTCACCCCTGCGCATTCGTCAGCTCACTCCTCAACAGTTGAAAATTGGCATTATTATTCCTTTGAACCAACCGGTCTACCTCCTGTCAGTGGTTCTTGGGCGTTTCAGCTGCCAAACTGCCTTAGCTCTCGGTTCTCCTCGGAGGTCATTCCCCAGGAAATATCTTTCCTGGTTATACATACGCATCTGGAGCTTACGGTTAAACTCGTTGGTCAAGAGCAGAGGATCAAGTGACAAGTGTCTGAAGGTGAGCCAACATAAATTATCTTCCCTTTTCTATTCTGTCCTTTTCCTGCATTCAGTCTTCAACCCTCTTATTGTTGTTAACTACTTGTTTTCCCAAGAAGTTTATATCATAGCGACATGTCTGCCCAAAACGCTAGGTCTGAAGCTTTGACACGGATAACGCGGTCGTGCACAACAACGGCCAGTAACACCCTAAACAACACACTAGTCTGTACTAGAAGACAAACAGAGGTAGGGCAGAACATCGAACTTCTGAAGAAGTGGCCAACCCATGTTTCTAGAATTCCAGTAGCCATCAGACAGGTGACACAGAGAAGCACTAGCCCGTCACAAACTAGTCCTATCTTGAGCAAGGATCATACCATGCCTGAAATAGAAGACGACGTAAAAGGCTTCAGAACAAGGCAGCCACAAGCAGTTCGCCACAATCCGTAGCACCTTATTCATGGAAGGAAGGCTGTATTACGACACCCGATGGCTGCAGTGTTTGCACCAAAGTTGTTTCGGTAGTCGATGAGGCATTTGCATGCAACCTGTGTCAACGATGGGTGCATTGCCACTGCGATACCAAAGTCCCCCGACAATACTATAAGCTGATGAAGAGACAACCATGCAAGTGGTTCTGGTACATCTGTCCAGAGTGCAGGAAAATGCCCGCACTCCGCACAGAAAGCCTGAAGGAGATGCTCTCCGCCACGCAAAAGCTACCAGCATCCTCGAATAAGTAGGGTTAACACCAAAGGATAACACAGAGAGACCTGGAAACAGACCTAGAGCTCCAGCTGTGGGCACGCCATCTCGCGTGGGGACCATATTAGGTCAAGTCTCCATACCCCCACCCGGCCCCAGGGGACGTCAAGCGCATGGCCAAAGACATCGACCGCCGAAGCCTCTACGAAACCCATTCCGAACACCCCACACACCGTGACTGAGAAACAACCAGTGGAATTACTCAAACCCATTGGTAAGTCGGGCGTGCCACCCACAACGAACCCAGGTCACAGGAGGACCAACTCGATCATTTTGTTCAACGTCGATGTATCGACAGACTCATTGTTGGTCGAGAGGGAACAATTTGACAGCCGAATGTGGACCGACTACTGTCAGATGCTGGGACTCCCTCCCCTCCCTGCAACTTTGTGTCGCCTTTCTCGAGGAAGCCATGCACCCCGAGATAAGCCACCCCCTTTACGTGTGTCCCTAAATACCGCCAAAGAGGCTGAAGACACACTCCTCCTCTCGCGACAACCGGACGTTGTTAATGCCTGTAAAATTCGGGCCAGGCCTGACAAGCCATGGTCAGTAAGAGAGGAGGAGAGAAAGTCAGCGGTTGGAAATCCCAACAGAAACAACACTATAGTTGTACATGGGATTCCAGAATTGCCAAGTGACAGCTCGGTCAAAGATCGGTACTTTCACGACGTCCAACAATGGCAATGGCTCTCAACCAAAGTTGGTCTCAACAGTATACCGGCCAACAGCGTCAGTAGACTGCCAAGGCCAGCGCACCTGAAGACCATACCCAATCCCAGACTACTTGCCGTCCAGTTCGACTCATATGCCTCCCTCACAGACGTTCTGCACGCATGGTATAATGCGAAAGATCGCATGGGTGGCTCAATACGTATATGTGAAAGTAAGCCTAGACCCACAAGGCAAGAGGAGAGACGGCAACCACCAAGACCTCTGGAGTCAGTGGTCGTCACACAGGCGCTGACCAGTGAGTTAGATACATCAAGTAAAGAAGCCACCACTGCTACAGCCCCCACCCAAGTTAAGAACAAAACACAAAAAAACGGAACAATGCCAGTCCTATGAGGACTGGCGAGGCTAAATTCAACCACGTAAGCGCTCATCCCGCGAAAATACACATCCAGACCTCCCCTCTCATCAGGTACACTCTAATATGTATGTACAGCAACGTTAGGGGGCTAATAGGGAAGGTAGCAAAAATGAGGACGCTGCGTGAACATCAGCACTACGACATCATATTCATCACCGAATCCTGGCTCTCATCGGACATCTCCGACGAAGAGATGCGTGTTGCTGGCATGGAACTCTTCCGCAGGGACAGGGAACATAGAGCAGGAGGGGGAGTGGCTATCTACGCAAACTCCTGTTTAAAGGCAAGGATGGTTAGCGATACGGCCTTAACCCAGCTCCCAGAGTCTCTATGGTGCTACTTCACTCTCTTCTTTATTCTCTCTTCATTCCTTTACCACTACCTTACTATTCTCTTCCAGGTACCTACACAGACAGGAGTCATGGCAGTTCTCTAAACTTCCCAGCAACCCGTAGCTCCCTAATCACTCTACAAATTACAACCTACTAACCCACAAAACATCCACCTCACCGAAGCTAAAAGCAAGAAAGCAGAGGGGATTTCCTCGTCCACTGCAGGAGTAAACCGAACAACTGGAACCAAGCCCTAAGAACTAGACGCGAGAGATCAAAAACTACTAGTTTTCTACGCTCGCACTATCAATATTGGATATTGGATACTTCCTTGTTGTTGTCCTGGTGAACCTGGCGGCCGGTTGAATATTCGTTCATTTTGTAGGGAGGTGTATGGTTTGTCTCAGAACTACAATGCTGTCATAAGACGGTTGATCATACTTGTCTTAAGGAAAAAGAAAGGAAAATCAAACGATAACAGTGAAGAATACAGGACACAAAATGTGCAAATATGTAGACCTAGACAGCTTACCTAACCGGTCGGAGAAATGGCTGATGCTTATCAATGCATGTGAATGTGCGAGCATGCACCTGGGGCACACACACACACGTCAACACCTACGATATCGACGGGACTCTTCTACCGTCAACGCTGACCCACAACGGCACGGAGGTCACGATGAGTCATGACTTGAAAACCACGCACACCGTCGAATGGTAGCAGCTCAGAGTTTTAGGACTCTCCAATCATTGCGTGGAACGTTTGCGAAAATAAGCGGTGATATGTTCATCATCTTATACACATCCTTAGTTAGGTTAAAATCGGGAAACTTTACACAGACGGCTAACCCTTTTCTGAAAAGTGGCGCAGACCTTCTAGAAGGAGTTCAGAGGGCAGCCGCTCGTACGATCACTGCGATGGCTGGCCTCACCTATGAGGACCGACTTAAAGAGCTGAATCTCTTCACCTTGTCCCATCGCAGACAGAGGGGAGATTCGATCATGCTTTGCAGGATTCTAAGGAACGAATTCGAACCAGACCTGTCTTCTCTCTTCCTTCCCACTAGGTCGGAGCACCTCAGAGGACATAGTAAAAGGTCACAAAAACAAAGAACGGACACAGTCTCCACAGAGTGCTGGTTCTCGCCTCAAGTAGTTAACTCCTGGAAACGAATCCTGGAGGAAGTGGTGTCTGCATCATCGACTGACTCGTTCAAAAGGGGATTGGTAAGCACAGAAATCTACTGGAAATGCAGTAATATAATCTCCCGGCCTCCCATCCTCAAACAACAAATCTGAATCTGACTGCCATGCCTCCAAGCATTCATCAACATATCTGAAAGCTTCTCGCGTTCAGAACCATTGAACCAATTTCTAATGTTTTTATGACATGATACAAGCCAGTTGATTTCTTCACCCTCTCTCCCCAATCTTGTGAAACAGTTACAGGTCTTTGGCTGGACTGGCGGGTTGCCAAGCAAGGACTAAATAGTAGGGATCGCACGAATTTTCCAAAGACTCAGGTGCAGATGGGTTCCACAAGTGTCGTGGCGACGGGCAATTATTTGGACTGGCTTTAATAAGAAGGGAGGAGTGGTGAAAAGATGTGCGACGAAACCTAGGGAGAAGGAGAGAGAAAAATGAGGCGAAAGGAAGTGAAAGAGAAACCTCTGCAATTTTAGAGGGGATAACAGTGACTGGAAGATCCTAAATAGGCGGGCAAAAGATTACAGAACGGATTATTTGGATGGGAATTGTAAAGCCTTTAGTGGGGCATGGTGACTGATCAGACACCTAACAGTGAGGTACGCAGTTAAATAAAGTCACAATAACAGTGGCCATACAACAGATTCGGTGGAGGGTTGACCGCGCGGGGTTATGTGGAATTAGTGGGTTGTAACGAACTAGTCCGTACGGAAGCCGGATGAGCACAAGCCACGCGTCGTTGTGCAGCAGTCCAACCTCTTCTTGAGACCACCAGCAGACGGAGTAGTAACAATCTCGACGCGCGGTGGGCACGGGTTTTCGCACTTCGGTGGGCTATTTTTCCCGGGTTACTACGGTGATTATAACAGTGCCCATTTGGTAAGATTCCACTGCTCGGATGACATGGATTACTTAGTATCTCCTCAGCGCCTGTATAAAATCGAAGGGCTGGGCCTGCAGAATCCAAAACCCCAAATGATGTCGCCTCCATAACACCTGTGACGAAGAAGCACGAACAGACCCCTGACATCGCCACTGCACACGACTTCTAATGAGGATAAGAACGGTCGGTTTTGGACAGGTGAATACCATCGGCTGAACGCCAAAATGACAATCAGCTATCACCCCACACCTCGCTGCTACCAACCGGTAGAAGATGTGATTACCCATGTGATTACCCCATTCTCCGATGATCCAACTAGGAATACAGTGACTCGACTACCTTCCGCACGACAAAATCACATTCTAGTAGAACTCTTTGGTTCCTGGAGCATATAACAGCATACTTAACTGTTTAATGTGTGAGCAGTTGTCACTTTTCCCACATTTATCTTTTCATCATCGCACCACTTTTAGATGAGATGCGAAATTTCCCCTTACATTTTGTCGTTATGGTATCATCCCGTTGCTGCCAGTTTGTTTTACGTTAAAAGCCGAATCGAAATTACGTGTCTGACTTTTCCGATGGTGTTTCATCTACATGTGCCCATACTTACCTCCGAATGCCTTTTTCGCGGTTTTAAAGATTTCCGTTTTATTCTATGTGCAACGAGCGCTGGACGGGACGTCGAGGCACTGAAAAGATCATGATCGACCACTTTGCAACAATTCTGCCATGGAACGTACGACCGGTTGCTTCGCCACCATTATGACGGCCCAACAGAACAGCTGTGTGTCAGGCATGGCTGTCCTGACCAACTGTTATGGCTGGGATTGCTGCATTAGCAGCAAAATGCATTTCACTTGCTTTAACGCCCAGGACTTGCTGGTAGTTTTTGCAATCCGACAGAATAGCAGTATCAAACAATCGAAGACAAGGCCAGCAATCTACTGTCTACGCGCTTAACTTATTCTTTACTTTACTCTTTTTATTGACTTTGTTATCATTTTCACCTATTTAATAATATGCATAGCAACAGTACGCCACCCTCAAAAAAATTAGTCACCGAAACACCTTGAGTACAGCTCCACAACGGACACGGACAAACCCGTTTTCTGTAGTGACTGGGGCTGGAGTTACGTGGTGTCAAAAGTGACAAAGAAAGCTTGAAAGAATGCTAACCCATCAACCAGGTCAAATTCAACCGAATGGTCGCGGTCTTCAACACCCCAAGTTAGCCAATCCTTCAGTCTCCACAGCACCCCAAATTCAGTGTCCCAATTCAAGGAAACACAGGCTTAAGCGGTTCAAAAACGAACAGAAAGCTGCCTACAACAAGAGTGACTACATCACCTAAAGCCCTCGAGCCACGCTAGTGACAGTCACCCGTGGACAACATGACAAATGGTTTGGGTTGGGGAAAAAAGCTCAAATCATCCGTTAAGGCGCACCCGTGGTACTGGATAACGTAAGCATCACTGACCGATCAAACCCCGTCACTCCATTTTGCCTTTCTGTACGTCGTAATAGCTTCCTGGGGCATAAGGATATGCTTTACAGGCGCAGTGGGACTTTCCCTGTGTACGCTAGGTCTAGGAGCTCTTGGCTGTATGGAGGTGCACATTCAATCCCAGGGAAGTCCACGCCGATAAAAGAGGTCGAAACGTTCCCCATGCTTTTACACACACAAGTTATTGGCAGTCATCCAACAATAAAGTTAGGCGTGATTGGGTGCGGGTGGCTAGAAAGAGACCCCAAAAGGCACCTGATCAATGAAGGCTTACGACTATGGTCGCCCGTGGAGGATCTGAACTGACGACCGGTACTCCAGGAGATAAGTACACACATGACGTTCAACAATGGGAGTGGCCATCGGGACTGATGGGGCTAGGTAGGGTTGCAGTGGTGGTAGCTCGCATGCTGCCACGCCTCCGGCATCTGACAGCCATGGCCTTACAAAGATTAGTAGCCCTTAACCGTGGATCCTAGGAAGTTTTAATTACAGTGCTTGAGACGTGATAGAAAGTCAAGAGTACCATAAGCGGGGATGTTTGCTGCTGTGAGGACAGACATAGAACTCCGGGACAACAACAGACGGCACTTACTCGCTGTGCTCAGGACGCCATCACCCTACGCCGACACGTTGAGAGTAAGGCTGACAGCTGCCAACCAGCACTGGCTGCTCAAATCAGCTCCAGAAAGAGTTAGGCAGTTGGCCAATCGGTCAGAGTTCAACAGTCCACAGGCTTCTACTTCCGAAAATTCCAACATAGTGCTATTATCAACCAAGATCTATCGTTGGCATCTGCCTCGCATCCAGCTGGTTGACACCGCAGGTCATAGATTATCCTTAAAGGTTCAGGATACTGAAGCATCTCACCGATGGACGTTGTACAGACAGTCGTGCTAGATCGCGAATCGATAGAAGTAGAAACCCGTGGACCATTAAACTCTAACCCAGTGTCTGAATCCTTAACGCGTTCACCGTGAAACCTGAAGCGGCTGAGTTCGATCCCTAGCTGTGTCGTAGGCGCGTACTGCTGAGCAGTCCCGTAGCAGGATGAAACGACTGTCCGGTGTCCTCAGGCTTCTAGTGGTTCTCCAAATTATGCTAGTCCATGATGAACGGCAGCCTAAACGTAAAACTCTAATCTTTATGCGATAAAGTAGGGGCACTGCCTCATTTTCACCGTACCTTATTGATTATGCACACATATGAATGACTTTAAATCAGTAGATGGTAATTGATGTCAATTCATGGCGAAGATGGAACCTATCGGCCGTGAAGTACATCTTATTAAAAGTGCTATTTTGGAGCCTCGTTTTGGTTCTGTGAACATGGAAACCTTTGGTATCTTATTTGATAGACAACTGAGTTACTGGTTAGTGAGTCACTCATGTGGAAAAAATGAGTAGCTTTTCATGCTACTGGTGCAGATAAATCCTGATGTCGTTGTCAGAAGGCTGTTGGAGCCGTATATGAACGTCCATGGAATGCGATGATATCTGACTTTCTGCGTTGAATCAGCAGGTGAATGTTTTATGTAGCTCACTTTGTAAGTTAACCAAACAGTCAGTGAATAAACAACATCTTTTACAAGGGTTGAGATGTGTTGTTCTCCCCCCTACTTTTAAGGCCTAAGATTGGTAGAATTCGATTTACTTCAAACTTGTTGTTTTTCTTCTGACTCTGTCAAAATGTCAGCGAAAATGACTGAGGGTTCAGTCGAAAGCTGTTGAAGAGGGCCATGAAATAATTTAACTTTATAATTTGCAAAATGGAATTCCTTTTCAAACGAATGAAAAGATATCACTAAAAATAATTACTCGTGGCTTAACCGTCTCTAATTTTGGGCCACGTAACATGCAGTTGGTCCTCAGACAGCATCGCTGATGCCTCTTGGTGAATAACTTTCACAGAACGCAGCTACAGTCGAACTGAAAAGGAAGAACTGTCTACAGAGGTGCAGTTTCAGAAGATCACATGGAGAAGATAGTTCACGCCATTGACAGATCACAACCCATTATTAACTGCATTACAGCCAGGTAAAGGTATTCAAATAATTTACGATGATGGACCATAGTACTCTGGGTTGTGACCTTAACACTCAGTAACAGCCAGCAGGCTATATTAGCTGGGCCGATAACTGCTTCAGACTAATCGATTCCCAAAATTCATGGAAAGAAGTTGCCGTGCTTGAAACCGTGGAAGCTGAGACCGAGGCTTGATAGTTCCTAAGAGATGGATTGCTTGGCTTATCAGTGAATTTAAGACTATCGAAGCTTTTAGGGAATGAGATGAAACTCTGGAAACTGCTAACAGGTTCCTTGAGACAAAATGGCCTGTATTTTCGCTCGCTGGGACCTTGAGCAATACTATCACCTTCGCGATTCACCGCCAATCGTGAACTCATGTTCAGTGACTGAACTGTGGTGCCAAAAGTCTTGGTCAGGGGATAAGGGGCCGTTTCTAAAGTTCCATCAGGGTACTATGAGAGTAAAGTCTGTAGCACGTGGTCAAGTGTATTGACCTGGAATGAATCAGGAGTTCGAACTGTACTGACAGCACCATAGCTGCAAGATAGCCATCAAAATATCTCCCACGCACAGTCGACGACAGAACCTTCATTTCAAAGACCACGTACTGACTTTTCTTGGCCAACGCAAGGGTGTATGTATTCCTTCATTCAGGGTGCACACAGCAAGTAGCTTGAAGTTTTCTGCGTGTCGCAATGCAGGGTAGAAGCTACAATAGCCAAACTGTCCAGTTTGTCTATCTACCTCGGTTAACTTCCGCAGTCTTGTGTCTTTTAAGAAAATGCATCACGGCGCTTTCTACACCTCGTCTTCCGTAAAAAATGACCAAGCACACAGATTTCCGGATACACTGAAGCGAGCTTCATTGGAACGATCGGTGAACGTAGGCCTAGCTGTCTAAACAAACTGCTAAAGCGCCGGTTTCTGCATCCACGGCATTTCATCTCTCTCCATTAACTTTAAGAGCATCATCGTCTGGTGTATAACAGGGGGAAATTCTGGATATATTGCCCCTTCCACTTTTTAAGAGTGATGCGCCAAATCTCATCTCGATTCCACTTTATCCTGTCCGTGTTATGCCAAGCTGAAGATGTGGATGAAAAATAACTGACCATCACTTTGCCGGAATCAATATCAGGTAGTGTTTGTTTCGTACTACTTGTTTGCAGGAAGTTCTCTACACTGTCACACGAACAGTGAGGCATCACCGAGCGGACACTATGGAAAACCCAGAAGGGGCCAGTGCACGGACGAAACTCCATGATGGCCGACACTCTTTTCCCCTCCATTCTGTGAGCACTGGATCGCATTACCTGCCGACGTTTACACCGATCCACTACTCGACAGCTTCTGGAATACTTCGAACAACTGCGCATGGATACATGGCTTGCACTCATCCAATTGGGGTATGGACTAAGCAGAAGCGCACAACTGACTCCGCATCACTGAAACAGAGTTACTACCGTACCGAACTTTTTCCACTGACATTGTTATTCTGAACCCGACTGAATCTTATTCTGCAAAACTAGACGTCTCACCAGGGACGCAGCAGGTCGGATATCAGGCACAACTTCCATTCCCTAAGAGTTATTAAATTCTTGAACGCTCTCCCTGAAGATGTGGCCCAGGCTAATTTACCTGAGTCCTTTAAACGCTGACTGGATACTTAAATGACATATGGCTTGGTTCTTTCCAGAACTAAATGAATTTTCACATTTCAAATGCCACTTTTCCCTCTATGTTGACCTGTACATAGGTTAACAATCACGGATTTCGGACGTGAAAGCCAGTTAAGCGAAAGCTTCTTCTGTTCCTTCGGCAACCACTTGCACCACCTGAACCATTTCCACCTACCGCAGCAGCTCCAAAGTAATTATCTGGATTTCCATAATCCACACTATAAGTTTTCCTTGTTCAGTCCCCTCCCCCTGATTCATCACGACAATAAATTGCCCGTTGAGACTCTTGATACCACCGTTTTCTTTTCCGACCTCTCTGAATCTACCTAGGCTTTTTACTTCTCCACTTTCGTTTTCATATTCACATTTGTTGTTCGAGGATGGGAGGCCGGGAGATTATATTACTGCATTTCCAGTAGATTTCTGTGCTTACCAATCCCCTTTTGAACGAGTCAGTCGATGATGCAGACACCACTTCCTCCAGGATTCGTTTCCAGGAGTTAACTACTTGAGGCGAGAACCAGCACTCTGTGGAGACTGTGTCCGTTCTTTGCTTTTGTGACCTTATAATAATGATGTTTATTCCTGAATGTACAGGCACACACCATTTTTACAGGCATGAATAAGTTTGTATACAAATTACATTTATCTTTATTGAAGGTAATCTGAATCCCTACCCGTTGTCACTATAAGACATAGGTGCTGCATTTTCATATAATGGAACATCCCAGCAGAATAAGCGTGCAAAAAATTTACAAGTTGGACAAGTGGAAGCATTGTCTTCGCATTAACAAAAAAATTGGGGTTTGTATCCAGATACTACAGGTATTATCCGGAGAAAAATAAAGCTTGAAGCTAATACTTCCATTGTAGCAGTTTGTACTTTTTGCCTGAGATAATGATTAAAAGTTTATGAATTGTTTATATGTTGTACTTCATCGACGATTCCAGGACTGTATAATTCATCCATGTTAACACCATTCCACAACAAAGACCCATAATCTTGATGAATATTATGACTGAAAGCCAAATGTCTTCACTTTTCCAACTCCAGCATCCAGAAGCAATAGACTTGTCTGAATGCGCAGGATGGACTTCCAGAGCGTCTTGTCCTTCGTTTTCACTGGTAGTGACAGCCTTGCAGTTGGTAAGTGTTGGACTTTGCTGGTCACTTTTATAATGAGTTAATCCTAGATTTTGATGATTATGAAGTTGTAGTCCAGTGGACATGTTTTATTTCTGCTTGTTGTAGTTAGGTATTCTGGACTTGGTAAAGCTGGTTACCCTCCATGAAGGGTAATTTTAGCCATGGTCTGTTCCTTAAGTAACTAATTCTCGATGGCCCTAAGAACTAGATGCGAGAGATCAAAAACTACCAGTTTTCTACGCTCGCACTATCAGTATTGGATATTGGATACTGGCAACAAAGCCAACGTTTAGAACTGAACTATTTTTCTATAACGAGAGAAAAACAGACAAGGCAGCAGGCGGAGAAAGCAACAATTTCAACAAGGAGAGTGTTTTCTATGTTCATGTTTCTCCCTACTTAACTTCCCTTGCTATGGCTTTCATTGTATATCCTTTTTCTATAGAGCATTTAAAAACATAACTTTCATGCTGTTATGTGGTGTAGGATTTCTGTTTCTGATTACCGCGTTGGGTGGGGCACAATGTGCAGTTAGTTTGAAGTGGTAACTTATGGAAGTCTCCTCAAAGCTTCGTATGAAAGGTCAGTGTAGGTGTGGTGGCTCTCATTATACATTAAGACAGCCGAGTATACGAGGTATCGTGAAGGAGATTGTTGGTGTACTCGATAAGCCGTAGAAGTCACCAGATGTTAAGAAGTCAGCCAGTAACCGACCAAATTCAGAGGTTGATTTGGAGGCCTTCACTTTAGCTGAAAGTCTGTTCCACAACTGAGAGAATTTGACGGTGAAGAAGTTTGCTCGCAAGCAGGACTTGAACGACTTCATTTTGACGCTATAGGCGTGGTTGCGCAGATCGTAACAACTGTTGTGTTTGAAGTGAAACTCACCATTGGCTGTGAAAGTGTGTTTATGTAACACAATAAAGAATGGTGTCAGGTTAATTTTGAGTAGTCTCATCCAAAGTGTTTCTAGACTTAGTGTTCTGCATCTTGAGCTGTAGTCCTGTTTGCAATCGTGTCCTAACAATCTAACCGTGAAATGCCTCTGGACACCCTCCACTTTATGTTTGTCTATTATGCGGATACCACTGAGTATAAATGGACAGTATTCTAACAGTGGACGCAAGCAAGTTTTGTAGAGTAGCAACTTGACTTCTTTGAAGTGGAAGTTACGAACTATGCAACCCATCAGGATCCTAGATTTGTGAGTCTGTGATGCTACCTGTTCAGAAAATGTGAGGTCCCTTGAATATCTTAGTCCAGGGTCACATACACTCTTAAGAACAGGAAGTTTCGTAGACTTAAGATGTAGCTGAATATCCACATTTGCCTACATTGAACTGAAGTCTCCAAGCAGCAGACCATGCGGATATTATATCCAGCTCCCTTTGTATTAGTGCTTGAAAGTGGGGTAAATTATCACGGGTGAATGTGTATGCAACCTTCAGGTCATCAGCAAACAAGAGTGGTTTATCGTATGTAAAGCAGCTGCAGATGTCATTGACGTATAAAGTAAAGAGAAG